TAGGGAAAGTAATACTGTTGTGAAAACTTGCAGGATTACTAAAATATATTTGTTTCTTATAAGATTACTCTTATGAGGACTTAGGAAAGAGCCTATTACACCTTCTCTGTCTTAAAATATGCTTTTTATTGAAAAGTTATCCATGAACATTATGTATACTAAAATAGCAATTCTTCACACTTCATATAGTGCTCAGAGCATTTTAGAGATGGTTACACATTTGAAGAACTTGATGTTTGGTAGGAAAATGGCGCTGCTCAGATTCTACAGTCATAAGTGAACTTACGAGATACAAGGATAAGTGATTTAACCTGGAAGTAATACAGAGTGTGACCAGTCTTCTAAGACCCACACCTATACGAGCCATAATACTAACTGTTCTCATTTCTCCAGGATGCACTGCCTTTGGAAGACAACAATGAAAAATTTGTAAAACTGGAAGGTTCAACCTCTCTGATCATCACTTCGGTATTACCGACAGACTCCGGCTATTATACCTGCAAGATGTCTTTTCCATATGAAGGTGTAATGTATGAAATCACCAGGACAATTCAGCTGCAGACTGTTGGTAAATATTCACCTTTTACAACGTTCTAGCACTTAAGAAAATGTCTTGCCAGAGTGGTCTTTGTGAGTGAAACTCAGGAAGGGAACTCACGTTCAGTCTCTCAGCACTGCCAAGTTAATTGCCAAAAACAGTGGGACACCAGAGGAGCTCGTTGTTGGTACTGATCCAGCAGAGTTTCCCATTGCACCATTGACGCAGCTCAGATAAGCACTTTGGCTAACCGCTGTGCTTATCCTGGGATTTAACAGCACATCTGTGGGAGGCAGAACTCAATGTTGCAAGTGCCCGTGGTTGTTAAGCTGAATAATTTATGTCATGGGGGTCACTGAAAATGATTTCCAAGGGCTTAGGAAATAGAACACTTAATATACTTAATAGAGATGGGAGAAAGCTACTATTTTGCAAACCAATAAAACAAAATTGCTGTGCTGGCTGTAGGCCGAGGACGGTGTTTCAGTGAGCACAGTGCCAGTGTGCGGTTCGGCCACCAGAGGACAGGAGTGCCGCATCGAGTGTGGCCACCCAGCCCAGGTGACACTTTGGCAGCTTCAGGGCTGCACTATTCAGAGCCTGCAAAGACCACGAGGTCTAAACGCTTACTTGTCCTTTTGGCATCAGAAGGTGGGTCAAACCCTCCTGAGTGGTCCTTACTTGAAGTTACCGCCGTTCTGCTCCCAGCTTGCAGTATGTAATTTAATTGCTCATGGATTGCAGATTTCTTACTTACCTTTCAGATTTCTTACAGTTACATACAGTAACTTGCAGAGAAAAAGAGAAATCTTCAGGATGTGCTTTTAAATTGCAATATTCTGCTACCCGGAGGGTCCAAGTACAGAGCATTATGCATTCAAGCACAAAATCACAAGTGCTGAGATAGGGATCTGCAAGGAGACAGACCTGAGAGTGCTGCTTCCTTTGGCTGTTTACTGATACCTATTAGTGAAAACAATTTTTGAAATAAGAACACCTTGCCAGTGTACTAGTGTTGAAGGTCTAATTTTTACTGTCAGGTACACATCCATTCTCTGCTTAAGCTTTTAGCTTTTAGCTTTTTCACTTTTGCAAGTACTCATGCTCAAGTATGCAAGGTGTGCAAGGATCTCCACACGTACTGCTCATGAAGAGGACTGTGCTTTGTGCTTACCGTTACCGTTGCTTCCAAAAGACAGTCACTCATCTGCCATACATACTTTGTGGTGCAGCATATGACTGTTGCTTTCAGGATCAAGATGTGAGCTTAATCCCGTCTGACTAATTCCACAAACACATATGTCTGGACTTGAAATTGGAATTTCTCCCTTTGCCAGTGGGTATAATCAAATGCTTAATTGGGAAATGGAAGATGCTGAGCAAAGTGGCACATTTCTATTTATAGTTCTGGGAGGATGGCCAAATATTCTGCTATGCTAGCGCTGACTCTCTGTTCTCTCTCTCTGTCCAGAACAAGAAAAGAGAATTACCCCAGTGATTGTGTATCCAACTCAAAAGACGACATCAGCTGCCCTTGGTAAGGCCCAATGTTATTTCCGGAAACATCTAATCAGAGAAAAATTGGAGTAGGTCCTCTCAGAGTGTAGTCGCTTGGTATAAAATGTTATAGTTCTGCTCACCTCAATTAAGTGAGCTGAGGGTCTGTGCTGTAGTGATTTTTGCTTCTTATTGTCTATGACTGGATGTTATCTTCCATGTCGGAGAAACTAAAGCAAAATTGCTGGAGAGTTTAGCAACTAACAAAGTAAGAAAACCATGTTGTATCCTTACCTCGTCTGCTCAGAGTTTCCCCTCCATTAAGAACTTTCCATTTCAGTATTCCGTGAAGTAGATTTAGGTTATTTGACAGCTTTGACTGGGCCATCTAATTCTCTTGAGAAGAAACATTTTTCTTTGCTTTTTAATGTTTTGACCCAAACACTTGTTATTGTTTCTAAAGCACCTCGATACGGTCCTCATTTTTCCTAGAAAATTATTTTTAAAAATTTCTGTTCCCTTTCCTTCTCAGAAAATGTCAAGTATATCTTACATTATGTTTTTTTTTTGCTTGAGTACTATACACAGAGTAGTGTCCTGTAACTCTCAGTTCTCACTGCTACCTTTCTTTCCAACACTGTAGTACTATCAAGTCAGTTTCTTGCCTGTATAGCTCCCTGGAGTGGTTTATATGCCTTTTATCATCATCTGCACAGATGTAGCAATAAGTTGTATGCATTATTGAGCCCTGTGTTTTCAATATAGTGTAAACACTAGTGTGAAGACTCTTTATCCTTATCTCTGAGTTACGATAATTATAACAAAATTTCTAAATTTTTGCACCATCACTTTATCTAACTGAGTGCCCTTGTCTGCAGCATCCATGAAGGGTGTTTCAGAGCTGGTTAAGCAAGTTGCTGTAGAGCAGTCAATCACACCAGGCCCTTTAGGCTGCAATACATGAGAAGGAGCGGGGCCACGGGACCAAAGTTTTACCTCCTAATGAACGCTTCCAGTGCAAGGGTTACTAACTGTTGCTGTGGGAAAGTAATTTGGTTGGATAGCCAAACTAAAGGATCTTGCCACAGAGTAGGTGATCAAAAACGATCAGGAGTTAACTTCATTCTTGAATGTGGTGGTGACTGGTGTGTGTAGGAACTTGATCTCCCATTGGAGATGCTGGTCTTCACCAAGAGAAAGAGTAGTTCTTAATATGTCACTGAATGTTTTTTTTCATCTTTCTTTCACAACAGGCTCCAGGATGACTCTCCCATGTAAAGTGTTTGTTGGCCTGAGCAGCCCTGTCTATACCGAGGTGGAGTGGCTTGCAAATGACACCATTGTTGATGTGGCTTACAAGCAAAGCAGACTTACAGTTGGGGAGCGACAGTAAGTCAGGCTGAAAGAGTTTTGTTGTGTTTGTTGTTTTAACCTGCACTGTGTAGCTGGAAGTCAGATAATGAGATGGGAAATGAAAAGTTTGGAAGTAAATATGAGAGCTGAAAAACAAACAGGCAAATCAAAAAGCCCCAGGAGAGGTGAAATCAAGCCTTTCTCTCTGGATTTTGTTCATGCTATGCTGCCATGAGCCAAATGGGCCACCCTAGCAGCTGACACTTAATTTTTCATGAAACATAGTTTCATGAGCAGCTGAGCTGATTTAAGAGTTGACTGCAGCAGAAAGCAATGGGATTTGGTCCTGTCCAGTCCTTCTCTTATTTCTCCCCTTGCCCTGTTCCAGGGAAGCTGCAACATCCTTTCCCTTGTGCCAGCACTCACATTCATGACGTACTTCACAGAGTCTTTGACCACAGTAAGACAACAGAAAATGATCTTGTGGTTTGGGATTTTTTTTCATTATTATTTTTTTCTCCTTAGGTTTGTTCTTTTCTGCGTTAGAGAGTTACCCTGACTCATAGAGGCCCAGTGAGTGCGGGAGCTGGTGCCAGGGAAGCGCCAAAGCGGGATGCTAGTGGGAGATAGAAGGAGAATGTCCCACATCCTGTTGTACTGATCCATTGTCTCTCTTCATTTTCCAGAGGCAGTCTCTTAGTTATCTCTCCTCATTTTGCAGAGGCAGCCTCTGAGTTGCCTCATAGCTGCATGCCTCAAGGCTTTTCTGCTAGGAAGAAAAGGATCTGCTTTTAGTGTCTGTTACCTGAGCTTACTGTGTGCATGCTTTTAGGTCTTTGCAAATGTGAGGCAAACATACCAACTGAAATCTCTTTACTGAGGTGCAAGTCAGCACGTTTTACCTCTCATTTGCTGAAGCTGAGGGTGTCCAAAGCCTGTTACCTTCATCTGGGTCAGAGTGGCTCTGTCTATGCTGATAGACAAACCCAGAAAAGCTCCTGGGCTCTGGAACATCATTGCCCATGGTGTTAATAGCTAAACTGGATCCTCTCCAACTAACACCTTCCCAAACAGATCCTGGCTATGGATTGGGAATTAACATGGGACAGGAACACTTCCCAACAGGCCTTTGGGATGTGGAGAACCCATTTTGAGGGATGAGAGTATTTAACAGTTATGGACATAGGCTGCTTTTGGCCATTTGGCCTCAGTGCCAGAAAACAACCTGGCCATGTGCGATTTATTGCACAGTTGTAGCCAGAGGTAACACGGTAACTCAGCTGTGTGCCTGAGCCCTTATGTGTGTTAATGTTCTCTTTAGCTTGACTGAGACCATTCATTTACGATGTTGTGTATGTGGATAAATGGGAAAGCCTTAAACCCATGCTCAGGAGCATACTATAGAATAGCTAGTCTCTGCAGGCTTTAGGAGAGAATTGCACATATGGTTTATTACTCAGACTGGTAGAGTATTATATAATTGCACCAGAAAAGGAGCCACGCTAGCCTGAGGTTGTGTGGAGCCCATGGTGTATGAAACACCTCAGTTCTGCTGGTAGTCCTCAGAATGGCATTAAGCTGAAGCACGTTGAATGTCACTAAAAAAACAAATTGTTTGCAGAAATCTCTGGCAAAGCACCCACTGCCGTGTTGCTGCCTTCCTGTGGTACAGTACTGGGATGAGTCCACAGGGAACTCCATTGCCACAGTACATAGCAGGCTCATGAACAAATCATTAAAGACCAGCTGGACAATTTCTCCAGCAATGACTAAAAGTATCGAGAGACAATGTTTGACTGCGGTTAGAAAACCGCTGTTAAATAATTGCACTGAGGATACAATCAGGTTAAAGTAAGCTGGAAACTTTTTAGACAGTTTCTTGTATTAAGCTCTTGGTTTTGTGCCCATGTTATAGAGGAATGGTGGTTCAGTTTCCTGAGTGAACAATTGCAGGGTTATGTTTTTCACAGGTCTTCTTCCAGCTAATAGTAAGAAATGAATTGATTTTAGATGAAAGAAATTGGGTCTGTCTTTCCTTGCTGTGTGGAGAGCTCAAAGGTACACAGAATTCTGTTGCTTTTCTCCTCTCCCTTTTCTTTATTTTAACAAGACAGATCCAGCTCTTATTTTTTCCTGGAAGGTTCAATTAGTGCAGAAGGGGTACTGAGTACTGAGACTCAAATTGTTGGCACAACTGGGATAGAAGACGCAGGTGTCCTCTAACGAAGAGGGGTTGGTTCAGGACTGAACAAATATCCAGTGCACTTTCTTGCTATGCAGTTAGAATGAACATATCAAATAGAGAAAAGCTGGCTTATAACAGGAATTCAAATTTTCTTTTTCTTTTTCTTCCAGAGAAACCACAGAAAATGGTGAAAACTTCATTGAAGTGCCATTGATTTTTGATTCTGTCAAAGAGGTGGATTTTTACACAGACTTCAAGTGTCTGGCCCAGAACAGATATGGATATCAAGTACTGCCAACAAGGGTCAAGCAGGAAGGTAGCTAGCTTGTCAGCTTATATGAGAGACAAACCCATGTTAATCAATTTCATTATTCTAATGCTAAATTATCATCCAAGCCATTTATACTGTCAGAAATATTACTGGGGTGGATTATTGCCTGGGAAAACTGATTGCTGTAGACTCAACTCTACACTGTGTTTCAGACTAGCTTGCACAAAAGATACTAACTGTAGACCTGTTACTGACATTTTTTGCAGGCGTAAGGATCTGTGCTGTTAGATCTGTTCATTGGATAGGGGTAAAATTTAGATGTACAATGTGAAATGGTGGCCCCAGTGAGATTAGTGGCAAATTCCCCTTGGGTTCAACAGGGCCAGATCTCCTTCAGTGCCTCAGTGAGTACGGGGGAAAAAAGACTATAGCAGAATAAGAATCAGACTATTCTTTCTCCTCATGCACAGACTGCTGCCAAACAAGTGTAAATTATGGTAGGAGTTGCTATTTTGGCTCATAGTTATGGGAAGAGAAGCCCTAAGCTCAGTGCAGTCAATGTTACAATGTGAGAGACCATCGGCCAAGAACCAGCTGTAAAAATAATGTGAAGCAATGCTAATTGCTTCTTTGCATGATGCTGGTGAATCACATGTTAGAAAGGCACATGAACATTTACAGTCTTCATTATGAGTTAGAACTCATGACTCACTGAAGCATCCTATGATGAGGTGTTTGTACTCATTTAGTTAGATGATGTGCTGCTCACATCTTCCATGAGCTACACAGGTATTACTACAGAGCAGGCAACTCATGAACCAGTACAGGCCGGTATAATTCAAAATGATCTGGATTGACACTCGTCTTGGAAATTAGATGAATTTTAGGAAGAAGCTCACAGTTTTGGCTTGTTAATTAGTGATTTATAGGCTTTGCAATATGAGAAAAAATGCACACAGAGCTTGAGGGTGGGCTAGCTGTTGTGTATTCCCTTTCCACTTGGAGAGGTGAGGGACACTGCAAGTGATGCTTTGATTTCCTGCTTGAAGTGTTTCTGCTTTGGCCAGATTGAGACAGAACACATAGTTACTCTGAACATGGGGTTGAAAGAGACACGTGCATGCAAAAAGACTTAATTTTAAATTCTTGCCCTCTATTGTATTCCAATATCTTCCTCCCATCTTGATAAACCCTTTTCCAAAAGTGCTAAATCAATAGGCCTGTTCCTCTCACAGATGATCAACCCTGTTGAAAGGTTAATTCGCAGACATCCTTTCTATTGTGGTTTCCCCTCCTCCCCCTTGTACTTAGAGAATTGTGTTCCTGGGAGGTTTTTTTGAAAATATTTCATTTCTTTACTTTTCCAGCTGTCGGCATGTCCTGGTACACTGCAATGATTCCCATCGCACTGGCCTTTGTGATCGTGGGAGGGATATGCATGCACAAGTGCTGGAAGCAGAGAGGTGATAAAGGATATGCAATAGCGAAGGTTTAAACTCTGCTTTGTTCTCCAACCACCAACAGAAAATGTTTCATTCTGGATATCCTTTGCATAAGACAGAGAAAGACATTTCAGACCTGGCCTGCTGCTTTCACAGTGGATGGATGTATATCCGCTTGTTTTCCTCTTCTCCAAGCGTTCCATGATCTGACTAAGTTATAAATATAAGTTTGTATAAAATGCTGCCTAGATGCAGGAAACCTCCTTCTATTGTTTTGCAACTACAGTGCAATTCATATTATTTTGGAGCACTTATTTTGGGGCACAGCAGATTTGTGTCCTGATTACATGAACTATAGGGAAAAGGAGGTGCTGTCACCCTCTCCAGTAGTCTTATCACTTAAAAAAAGGAAAAAAAAATCCTAAAACCTAAAAAAATAAATTAAGAAGGCTTCCTCTGGAAGGACTATTCCACACCAGAGTGAAAATAGAGTTTTCTTATGTACCAAGACTCACTTCACTTCAGTTTAAAAATAACCATTTTTCCACTTTCCAGGGACAAATACAGTTGTCATGGCAACTATACAACTACAAACTTTTCCACAGAAAATCTATTTTTTTTTCACCATTTGGATTACTCTTTGCTTAAGTATCCTGTTACAGAATATCCCTCCCCCAGAGATAACTTCATCAACATGGTAGTTGCACACTGGCTAATTCAGGTCTGTTTAATCTATGGCCCTCTCAAGCTAGAGATTCATAGGCAGCTGTAACATGTTGTTGTCTTTACCATGAAAAGAATTTGGAGGATGTTTTACTGTTTTGAGAATCATTTGACTAATGCCAGCTTTTATTCTTGGAAGTTATTTGACAGATTACCAGTAATAACGTGCAAGTCTCGCCCTTCTGTGCTTCTAATTCTTTTGTTACTGACCTGATTCTCCTCTCTGATATGAATATAAAAGTGTGGAATGGATTCCCATAAGCAATGAACCTGTACCAATCTAAAACTGGTGCAGTTTCAGGAACCATGTATCCTTTAAATTGAAGTATGCAAATTGAATACTAATGATGCAAAACGCTACCTATCGAGGTTAATTTATGCACCATCTAGATTCCAGTCTTGATGCAGACCAGGAGAGAGTAATAAATAATTGGTAACCATTGGTGATAACCAAACAAGACCACAGGAATTATTGCTGCCAAGTGCAGGATGCTGAGGATGAGAAAAAATACACGTTTTATAGGCAGATAGGAAAAAGGTGGCTACAAATGTGGAAAAAAGCCAATCCATGTGGATATCTGTTCTTTGAAGGAAGAAAACTATAGGAGAACTATCGCTGGAAGGAACAGAAAAAAACAAGAAAGTTTTAGGTACATCAGGAATGCTCATTTTTATCAGCAATTGCTCGTCTCAAGCTAGAGAACAAATTAGGTTTGTTAGTAAGTGTAACCTTTCAAAAGGTGCTTTGTTCTTTCCATCCATCTGTATCCTCCAAGAACAGCATTACAGCACATCTGGCTGTAGGAGCAGGGCTGGATTTGACTAAGTGGTAGAAAAGAAAAAGCACTTTTGGTATATGGAATATTTGTGCCATACAAAGGTTAAATACCTCAGATCCTCCTCCAAAGTAGAGGAGGGGAAAGAAATGTGAATGTGAGATTAAAAATTCAGGCATACAGAGAGCTGATGTTGTATACTGAGTGGTGTCTTGAACACAACGGGAATGTAAGGAAACAAAGGTTTATCTTTTAGGAAGTAAGTGAAATTTGCTTCTCTGACTACTAGTATACTAACATGCTGAAGGCTTCTGTGGTAGGTAGACTCGTTCAAGTCAGCTAAATGATGTAAATATTTTACATTGATCTGTATTGTTATAAACAAATGTATCACAGACTGTACTATTCTTGAGAATGTTTCATGAAAAATGAAAAAAATAAAGCTCAGAATGAAGTGTTGGTGTGCTGGTTGGGTGGGAAGGAAGCTGCAAAGTGGCTAGTGGCAGTGGCAGGCCTTTCCCAAAGCATATTTTTCCCGGCTCGTCCCCTGACTGTGTGGTGTACCTGTGATGGCTACCAGTGTACCTTTGGGTAGGGCCATCGCTGCAAGTTCGGAGTTATTAGTCCCAATATACTTTATGAAGAAAACATCCTGAATCTCATGGCAAACTTTAGTTTCTGAGGACTTATTTTTACCAGTTTCTAATTGGACCTGAAAAGCAATACAGTATGAGAGAGTGCCATTTCACATCAAGAACTCAGGCTCTGCGCCACAACATTTGTATTCAGAAAAACTAATGATGTAAAAGCAACAAGTCACCTCATTCATGAGACTGTGTAAATCCATAGCGCTTGGTCAGCAGAGCTCCTCTATCTGCAACAACTTAGAAGAAACATTTATGGGGTAAATAGACTGGTGTCCCGTGGTCTTGGCATGAGGTAGTATCCAGGACAGCAGCAGCTTCTGTGGAAATAGTTCTTTTAAGGAAAAATGAGTTCAGGTATCAATCATTTTCTTGTTCTGCTCAGTGTATGTGATTTTGATGTCAGCTACGTGGCCAAATAAACAGCGTAGTGTTTGACAAAAGTATCGTCTAAAACAGAGTAAACCTGTAATCTGAAGAGCAGCAGATAACTAGACATGCTGGTTCCCAAACGTAGTCCTTGCATAAATGTGAGAGTGCAGTGGAAATAAGAAATGAATCTGTGCTTAGAACTTATGTTGGTAGATTAGGATAGGGAGAAGCTTACAAATTTTTTATTTTATTAGCTGGACAGGGAAGGTGGAAGGGAGAAGGCACAAGAAACATGTGAAACACCAGGATAGCCAGGAATAACACTTTAAATATGAAAATAGCTGATGAAAGCGTTTGATGAATATTCTGACTCAAGTACGCAAAGCAAGAGTCCCAGGAGAGCAAAACAAAATAAGGAATGGGTTTTTGAATTCAGAACTCCCAGTCTACCCGTAACCTTGGAGTTGCTAAAGATAACCCAGGGTGGGGGTGCCTCTCACCTAACCTTTGACCATTGGAAAGGAATACGGCTGATCCCAGCTAGCCGTTTATGCTTCCTCTCCACTCAGTGGAGAAAGACAGCTATCTCCGGTGTCTAAAATAAAAGGGATGAATTGCCCTCTAGAGGTACCCGTCTTTTTCCAATAGCTGCTCACGCTAAACAACCACCTTAAAGACAAAGTTAGATGAATCCACCCTTAGTTACAGGAAAGACTGGTCATGGAACATGTGGTTGCAGTTTATCAGAGAGTTATAGAACAAAACAGATTTAACCTCGGAGACATTCTTTCACATGATCGAGGCTTCTGGGCTACCTTGGGAAATGTTTCTTATGCTGGCAGCTCCCTGTGCGGTACAAGGACACAGACTCATGCTAGAAGAAAATATTGCAAAAGGTTGGAAGTCAGGCATCCAGGCATGCATTGCGGACCGCAGTGTACAAGATGTGCTGAAAGTATTTGGTCCATGTCTTGGAAAAAATTTTATGGCTCATGGAAAAAGGTCCATGGGTTAGAAAGATGCCACAGCTATTGTAGGAAGAAAAGAAAGACCTGCATTGTGCATGTGTGAGGCTGAACACAGAAAGTCCCTGGGAGCAGGAGGAAGTCTGTTGTGTGACTGTAGAAAAGCCAAGGGCTCTCGGTGCATGCATACTGCAAAAGGGGCTGCCAGCCGTTCCACAGCCCTCAGCCAGTTCAATTCCAGCTGCAGCACTAGCAGACCAGAAAAAAATGTTGCTACTTACTAGTATACCATAACACTAGTCTACAGCCGACAGAAAAACAGAGACTGTTTATAGGAACACCACTAAAAAAAGAAAAAAGAAAAAAGAAAAAAAAAGATACTATTATTTGACATATAATGTAGTCATATTCACAGGAATTTCCGTATCAGAATCCTATCAGTCCCATCGCAGGAGGGCAGTGGAAACTATAGCCTCCAGCACAACAAACACCTCAGGTTCCTTGTGACAGTCTCCCTTGGGTGCTCTGCATTCAAGCATGCTTTCCTGTTTCTTGGTGCTTGCCAGACTTCCTGCTGGCCATTGATTATTGGATGACAGTTCTGTTTTTTCTCCCTTGGTGGTGTCAGCGCTCCACTTGGCCTGTGCAGTCAAAATCATTACTTTTGGTGAAGAAAGCCTTATTGTAATTCAGGACCTTAAAATCACAGATGAGTTGATAAAAAGAAGGGCATTTATTCACTAAAACGGATGAAACAAATATTTTAAGTGGCACAGGTTAAGAAACGAAAGAAAATCATGTTTAATGTAGTTATCCCGAATGAAATGTGGACTATCCCTCTCTTCTTTCTCTCTCCTAGCCGGGAGTGCATCAAGGATTCAATCTTTCTGTATAGGTTAAACCTCAGGCTGCTTGCCTTGCAGCATATCTTGTTTGGGTGAAACATTACTTTTATAGCCGGTATCTTATATGAAGTCATCCAAAGGGTTGGGACAGATTTAATCTTTCTCTCTGAACTGAAATAATTTCTTTTTTCTATTTACCTGCAGAAATAATTCTTCTCCCAGAGCAATCGCTTAATTACATTTTTTTTCCCCTTTCCTCAAAGACGTACTGTGTCCTTCTAACACTGGTATCTTCTCTTACACTTAACTGGCTAATCATCAACACCTTGCCTTTAGAAGGCAACAAACATTTTCCTTCCCTCCTTCTTTGGTGGCTCATTAGTCAGTTTTAGTGTGTTCATAGCACTGGACCTTATACTCCGTAGCAGTCTATACATTAATTACTATGCCTGATGCAAACAGCTAAATCAGGTAGAGCTAATATAGCACCAATCAGTTTTCAAGAAGTATGATGTATCATTATTTTCTTGAGGTTCCTGACATGGTGAGCCAAGCACTCAGTAATAACGAGGAAACTTTCAAAAACTCACATGGATCCAAACCAGCTTGTTAGAACTTGGGAAATTCACCTTCCACTGAATCTGTAACTACAAAGTGTAGCATCGCTCTTTTAATTGTGTGCCCCTGTTACCAATTTTAAGCTTTTATGTAAGTCTAAATTGTCCCAGAACTGATCACAACTTCAACTGCAAACAGTAAACTCCTCTGTAATGTGGATTAAAAAGTAAATCTCTCAGTGCTGACACAAAGTGAAAGTCCTCTTTTTCACTGTTTTTATCGCTTTGTCGCCTCTTGAACAGTGCTGCAGGGATTTCACTTATATGTGTCTAAATTTCACAAAAATGCATGTCCTGATGGGCTCTGATTTCTTTGCAGGCCATGCAGCATTTCTGTCTTGCAGGGCTTGCGCAGTACTTTTCATTTAAAGCTTTATTGGTCCTGTTTTGCCTTTGTTCTGGAGAATTTGTCCGTCTGCCTAGCTGTGGGATAAATGAATCATCCTGTTTGCTTACTTTGGCTCCCAAATATGCTTCATCATAAGTGCTAGTTAGGCCAGACTATGACTGGAAATAGTTGATATTATGTTTGTTTACTTACAAAAAAAAAGAAGACACTCAAGTGACTTGTGGCTTTCAAGCTGGGGACACAGCTGAACTCACAGCTAATTAAAGAGTATCATTACATGTATGTGTGTGTGCCAGCCACTCTTTTCCTTTCTGACTTGCATTGACTGGTCTGAAGTCAGCCTGAGCGCTCTTCAGAGGAGGCAATGAGCAAATCACGGTGCCGTCTCGGCTCTTGTCTTCATATCCCGACCAGACTGCAGATGCTGGAGACGAGGGCCTCTGTCCCATTAGCAGAGAAGAGCTATCAGCTCAACACAGAAACAGGTGCTCTGCCTTTAATCACAGCTGATGGGTGGCTTACCTGCTGATTTTAAGCCCGTAAAAGGCCTGGGGAAGCATAGTAGAGAAAGGGCAGATATTCCCACTGCCACCTAAAATGGCATTTATATGACTGATCCCTCCTTGCTAGGAAAACATATATATAAGCTAGTGTTTTTGTTTTTGTTTTTTTTTTAATCATACATATAAAGTGCCAATTGGGAAATATGAATTTCACTGGAGAATGTAAGGATTACTGGAAGAAGGGGGCTTCCAGTAGGGAGAGGTGGTTTAGTTTAATATAGGAATTTTGTTTTGTAGGCATTTTAATCTACAGCTGTTGCTACAAAATGAGCTTGTTTTCTTCTGCCTGGAAAAGTAAAGACAGGCCATGGCAGCTGCCTATAAATACATCCAACGGGAGAGCAGAAACAAGGGCATGGATTTATTTCAGCTCATGGAGGTGACTAGCAGAAAAAGCACATAACCAAAAATAAGTTGGCTGCTAATCACTATAGCAGTGAGGTCCTGGAAGAGCCTCTCAGCAGGAGAAATGGAAAGGAGAAGAAATAATTTTTAGCTTGGAGCTGGGTACGGTTATGAAAGGGCTTCCATGCCTGTGACGGCAGGGGGTCTTCCTGCAAGGTTGTGTCAAGTCCTCCGGCTTTGTGCTCTTTATTTCCATTGAAAGGGGAAGGAGATATAAAAATGTCATCTAGGAGTTTAATTATTGCGTTATTATTATTATTTCCTTCGTTAAATCTCCAGTGCCCTTATTCACAGCCCTTTCAAGCTTTTAAGAGCTGGAGGATCAAAAGAATTAAATACTGAACACAATTGCTGGATATATCTTTGTAGTTGTGTCCAAAGTCCTAATCTGCTTTAGACACTGCCAGAAGATGCCAATTGCCCTTGGAAAAATAACCCTTGACAAGACTTGGCTTTCCTACTGGAGTGAGTGCTCCAGTCCCTTATAACACATTCTTAATTAGAGACAAGTCAGCTCTTTGAATGACTCAAGTGCCAGTACTCTGCAGAGAAGAGGAGACCCTTGCGTGTTGTTCTTTCCTTTTCCGCTATCTCATGAATGTCACTTTCTGCTTGTTTCTGCACTGTTTAATGGCTACTCATGTGACTTTCACTGTTGG